CTCCCCTTGAAGAGCACTCGGAGGCTCCAACTGGTCCAGAATGCGGCCGCGCGGGTGATTATGGGCGCAACTTATTGTGCCCATGTGACACCCCCTCCTGCGCGAGCTGCACTGGCTCCCAGTGGTCTTTCTGGTGCGATTCAAGGTGTTGGTCACCACCTTTAAAGCGCTCCATGCCATAAGACCCGGGTACCTTCGAGACCGACTTCTGCCACCAATAGCCTCCCACCGGCCAGTTCACTCCCACAGAGAGGGTCTCCTCAGGGTGCCATCGGCCAAATTATGTTGGCTGGCAACACCCAGGGGGAGGGCCTTCTCTGTGGGAGCCCCTGCCCTGTGGAATGAACTGCCCCCGGAAATGCGTAAGATCTCCGACCTCCGGGTATTTCGCTGTGCACTCAAGACCCTGTTGTTCCGCCAGGCTGGGCTATCAACACAATAGTTTTAAATTGGGTGTTTTAAATTTCTGGGGTTTTAAATTGAGCCGAATTATTTAATAATTTTAAATTATTTTAATTGATGTTTGTCTTGTGCTTTTAATAGGCTGTACACCGCCCTGAGTCCTTCGGGAGAAGGGTAGTATAGAAATAAAATTATTATTATTATTATTATAAATGTCTCATCAACAATATACTATATGAGTATATTTTTATGTAGCAGCTGATAGCAGATGTTAGAAAGAATAATAAGTAGAATTTATTTCATTTGGAGAAGTGGAAAAGAGAGAGAGACAGAAAGATGGAGACAGACAGAGACAGAGGCAGAGGCAGACAGGAACAGGGACACTAAAAAGAGAGAAGTTGCATTGAATAGCAGTTTCTGTATTAGATTCTAGGTTATTAGTGCGTCAAAGTACTACTTAGAATAATCTTTAAATACTACTTTAAAATATGTTTAATCCAGTAATCAATGCTTGGTTAGTTTAAAGAATGAAGAATACTGGCTAATTATAATAGATGATCTCACTAGTTGGTGGCATTTGATCTATATTTCAGTTTTAAAATACTCCTGCCTGCCAAGTAAAGCTGGAAAAAAACATACCCATCCAACCAGTAGTGAAATTCAGTTTTTTTTACTACCGGTTCTGTGGGCGTGGCTTGGTGGGTGTGGCTTGGTGGGCATGGCAGAGGAAGGATACTGCAAAATCTCCATTCTTTCCCCACTCCACAGGAAGGATACTGCAAAATCCCCATTCCCACCCCACTCTGGGGAAGGATACTGCAAAATCCCCATTCCCTCCTGATCAGCTGGGACTTGGGAGGCAGAGAATAGATGGGGGTGGGGGCAGTCAGAATTTTTACTACTAGTTCTCCCCATTCCAGGAGAAGGATACTGCAAAATCCCCATTCCCACCCCACTCTGGGGAAGGATACTGCAAAATCCCCATTCCCTCCTGATCAGCTGGGACTTGGGAGGCAGAGAATAGATGGGGGGTGGAGGCAGTCAGAATCTTTACTACTAGTTCTCCCCACACCAGGAGAAGGATACTGCAAAATCCCCATTCCCACCCCCACTCTGGGGCCAGCCAGAGGTGGTATCTGCCGGTTCTCCGAACTACTCAAAATTTCCGCTACCGATTCTCAAGAACCTATCAGAACCTGCTGAATTTCACCCCTGCATCCATCCAAGGTGACTACCTTCTCATTTCACAACCTAGTTCAGATGTCAAACATCTACATTCAAAGTAGGTTCCCCACAACTGTCACTACCTCCATTTCTTTCTCATTTATTTGCCAGGAATTGAGAGGGCAGGATGCCATGATCTTAGTTTTCTTAATGTAGAGTTTCAAGCCAACTTTTGCACTCTCCTCCTTCAGAGCTCAAGATATTTGGGACTAAATTGTGAGTAAAGCACTGGGTGCATCTTGGCCAATCTATGATGAACAAAGAGCAAGAAAGTTGGACAAAGGGACCCTCTCTATACTTCAGGGAGGAGGAGAGCCACATAAAGTTGGGTGATGATGCAGAATGCAAGGAGTCATGTTTTATCTGTGAAAGAAGCTATCTTTTCCTGGGCTTCTTATCTGGATTAAGTCAGATTCTTTTCCATTGTTCATTAAACTCCATCAAACCTATTGTAAGGATTATATTACTGTTGCAAGAATGAAAAGAAATTGCAGTTCTGGTTCTGTGGGTACTGAGGTTGGAGAAGCTTCTGGAGAGGCCTCAAGAAATTTGAGGCCAATTTGGTAATAAACAAACATGGATTTCAATCTTGAGTTGCTTCCTGTAAAAGCAGCAAATTTCCAATAAAGGAACTGAATCTGCATTTGTACACAAAGTTTTGCCATGCTTCTTCCTTTAGCCAAAGAGGTTGCATGAATTTGGGAAAATGTACATTAGCTCAATTTAAGGAATAGTGTATACATTTGTGTACATATCAAATTATATAGTAAACCCAGAGAGGTTTCTGGAAGCATCCATGAGATTGTTCATGATTTCCAAACCTATAAACGTAAAAGCATCTTTCATCCAACCTATTTTGTAAATTGAGCTAGCCCTTTTTGCTCATTATCTTCAGTGAAGATCTGAGCTTTTTCAGTATTAATTTGACTTTTCTCCAGGGATGGTCAGCAGAAGGTTCTTTAAAAGCAATTCTGCAATGCACTTTGCAAATCTTCTACATCTCCATCTATGATTTTATCATATTAAAGAGCAATTCCGTTTTGTATTTGCTGAGAATGCTATTAATTTCCTTGTTGTTGTTGTTGTTTTACTATCCCTGCCAGATTTAAAATCCCATTTCTGGGGGGGGGGAAGATAAGGGAGAAGTAAACCAGCATATTATTTTCCAGCCCACCAAGTGCACTTTTCCCCACTCCCTCAAGGCACAGTTACATTGAACATAAGAAATCAGTGTTCATCCAAAATCCTGAAGAAGGACAAAGAACTGAAGAAGCTTCTTGGATAAGAAGCGAAACGTTTTCAAGGGAAAATAAAGAAAGTCCAGTTGCCTTTTGAAAAAGCACTTTGAGGGCAACCATGACCTGGATGACTGAGAATCTGCATTAAATGCTTAATTTCATTGGCGTCTTTCTTCCTAGGAACATTGCAAAACTTGCTGTCAGTCCATTACAGTCCACCATCTTCTCTCAGCGACACCAAAATTTAACTTGAACTCTGTGCTTTTAAACTGAGTTTCAAAATCTCCTCCAAGAGCCTGTGCTCTCCAGAACAATTTCAAATTATTGATGCCTGCATATCTTTTGGAGCATTAGGCACTCAATTATTTGACTTCCATATGTAGCTCATCCCATACTTGAATGTATAATTGGAATCCTCCTCAACCTGGCACATTCCATCTGGGTCTATCTTTCACATAAGTTCAAAGTTGCTTTGAACTTATTATCTGTAGAGATTCTCAGTCATTCAGGTCATGGTTGTCCCAAAGGTGCTTTTTCTGGAAGCAACTGGACTTTCTTGTTTTTTCTTTTGAAGATGTTTCGCTTCTCATCCAAGAAGCTTCTTCAGCTCTGACTGGATGGTGGGGAATGGAAAGATTTTGTATTCCTTGCAGACAGCTGGTGATCTGCATCCTTTTAGAGGTTCATTGAAGTACTTGGAGATTTATCTGTGTTTTCAGGGTCACCTGAATAGCGCAAATGGTTCCTGTAGCCTGCATTTTTTTTCCTCTGGAAATCCGTTCCTACTCTCACAGCATTCGAAGGATGTCCATTCCAAATTGTATAGCTAAAAGTCTGTAGAGATTGTCAGCCATCCAGGTCATGGCTGTCCCAAAGGTGCTTTTTCTGGAGGCTACTGGGACTTTCTTGTTTTTTTCTTTTGAAGATGTTTCGCTTCTCATCCAAGAAGCTTCTTCAGCTCTGACAGGATGAAATGGAAGGATTTATATTCCTTGCAGACAGCTGGTAATCTGCATCCTTTTGGCGAGTCATTGAAGCACTTGGAGATTTATCTTTGAACTTACCTATATTTATTTATATAACTTATTATATTTGAACTTATTATTGTTTTTTCTTATTATTCTGGTATTGGTGGCACCTGTCATTCTGATTTAAAAAAAAAGTATATTGACAATTTCTTCTATTAGCACACTTAGATAATTAGAACTGCAGAAAAAAACATTTACTACCAACCTGCCTTCCATGGAGGACCTGAATACTGCACGAGTCAAAAAGAGGGCTGTGAAAATATCTACAGATCCCTCACATCCTGGACATAAACTGTTTCAACTCCTACCCTCAAAATGACGCTATAGAGCACTGCACACCAGAACAACTGGACACAAGAACAGTTTTTTCCCCGAACGCCATCACTCTGCTAAACAAATAATTCTCTCAACAATGTCAAACTATTTACTAAGTCTGCATTACTATTACTATTAATCTTCTCATTGTTCCTATCACCCATCTCCTCCCACTTAAGACTGTATGATTGTAATCTTGTTGCTTGTATCCTTACGATTTATATTGACTGTTTCCTAACATGATTTGATTGCTTACTTGCACCCTGTGACTATCATTAAGTGTTGTACCTTATGATTCTTGACGAATGTATCTTTTCTTTTATGTACACCGGGAGCGTATGCACCAAGGCAAATTCCTTGTATGTCCAATCACACTTGGCCAATAAAGAATTCTATTCTATTCTATTCTATTATTCTATTCTATTCTATTCTATTCTATTCTATTCTATTCTATTCTATTCCATTCCATTCCATTCCATTCCATTCCATTCCATTCCATTCCATTCCATTCAACTCTATTCAACTCTACTCTACTCTACTCTACTCTACTCTACTCTACTCTACTCTACTCTACTCTATTCAACTTACAATATTCATTGCTTTCAGAGTTCACTGAAAAAAGAAGTTCCTCATTTCCTGGCAGGAATTATTTCAAAAAAGGATGCACTCATTTCCTAGCAGTTGGGCCCCCACCTCGCAGCTGTGGGTGTGTCCCTTGTGCTCCACCTCTCCTGAACATACATAAAGCAATTCTGTAATATTTTCTCCTTAGAGATGAGAGAGTGGTGATACTTCTTCTGAAGTCAGCGTTGAGTTAGGAAGAAAAGCCTTGACATCTAGAAGAAAACCTTACGGTGATCTAGAAGGAGACCTTTTTCTAGTAATCTTCTTCAAAGAGAAGGTAAGACTTTCATAGAAAATTTTCTTATTGGTTGCTTTTTACATCTTCTGTCTGTAATACTTCATCATATACAAGCTTTTCTCCCAAGAATTTGATGGAACTTCCTTGACTTCCTTCTGACCAAAATGTATCAAAATAACCCTAAATTATTTTTGTTCATACTGATTTATCTATCTTTCTATTACCGTTGTAATGATGTCCACTATTGAAATCTAAATATTATCTATTTATCCTGCTAATAATGGTATACTTCCATTGAATAAAAGTGCTTAATGGAATAAATAATTAGATAAACCCATTATAAGGCTGCTTCCTTATTTCCTAATATGCACAAGAGAAATTTGGGGTTTTTTAAATGTCATGATGTTTCTTCTTCTTCTTCTTCTTTTTTTTTTTTGCTTTAATTTATATGCCGCCCTTCTCCGGAGACTCAGGGAATCTTACAATGCGTTAAGCGATAGCCTTCATACTTTTGTATATTTATACAAAGTCAGCTTATTGCCCCCACAATCTGGGTCCTCATTTCACCTACCTTTGAAAGGATGGAAGGCTGAGTCAATCTTGAGCCTGGTGAGATTCGAACTTGCAGTAATTGCAAGCAGCAGATGTTAATAACAGTGCTTCAGTCCACTGTACTACAGGCTCTTATATCTCCCCCATTACATATTCAGACTGCAATTGTTTTTAAACTCATGAAATCTATGCGTCATCCTCATCTATGCAAAGAATTTTACAAGCTTTGAATTAGTTTTTGCTAATGTACACATTTTGTACATTTCTCTTTATAAACATATTCGTGCATACTTTTTCCTGATGTAGGCATTCTTCCAGGCGATACTCCATAATACAGATTTTTTTAAAGCTTTTCCCTGCTGTACCTATTTATATATTTCTGCAAACTGTACCACAAAATATATGTAGAAGTTCAGAGAATGCAAATATCCAGTTTAGGATATTAGGAAATGGGGAATAAAAATAAATCTGGGTTCAGAAATTTAAAATAGATGTTTGCGGAGTTGGCATTTTAATGGCAATGTACCCAAATGCAAACTCACAAGCTTTTCCTACTTCCTAACTTCTGAACCTTGGTCCTTGTTCCTAATTTCAGGTTTTTTTTTTTTAAAGAAAAGACTGTAAGCATTGTAAACACCCTTCATTTTTGTTCATGCTCATCTACCACCAAGAAACTTGCCTATCTCACTAGAAGAGAAACCCTAATAGCAAAGTTGGAGGGGTGTGTGTGTTATGAGCAAAAGAGCAAGAGGTTTCAGTCCACAGGTTGGGGAAGATTTCAAGGTTGCATTCAAGGACCAGGGGAGACATGATAGCAGTGTTCCAATATCTCAGGGGTTGCCACAAAGAAGAAAGAGTCAAACTATTCTTCAAAGCACCTGAGGGTAAAACAAGAAGCAATGGCTGGAAACTAATCAAGGAGAGAAGCAATTTAGAACTAAGGAGAAATTTCCTGACAGTTAGAACAATTAATAAGTGGAACAACTTGCCTGCAGAAGTTGTGAATGTCCCAACACTGGAATTTTTTAAGAAGATGTTGGATAACCATTTGTCTGAAGTGGTGTAGGGTTTCCTGCCTGGGAAGGGGGTTGGACTAAAAGACCTCCAAGGTCCCTTCCAACTCTGTTATTCTATTCTATTCTATTCTATTCTATTCTATTCTATTCTATTCTATTCTAATTCTATTCTATTCTATTCTACTCTACTCTACTCTACTCTACTCTACTCTACTCTACTCTACTCTACTCTACTCTACTCTATTCTAAGTTATTTAAAACATTTGTGGGTGGGCAGATGGGTGCATGCTTTCTACTCAATCTCAACTCCTAACAATTACATGGGCAAGTCCATGAAGTTTCCTTGGCATCGTTCTCTGATTTTCTAGCTTTCCAAGGGCTGAGAGAGAGTAACAGTAACAGAGTTGGAAGGGACCTTGGAGGTCTAACCCTCTACTCATGCAGGAGACCTATACTAGGGATTCCAATCGCCAGGCTGCTGACCTTTCTGATTGACAAGCTCAGCGTCTTAGCCACTGAGCCACCTAGCCAGGCTAGTTGTGCAATGGCTAAAGTCGTACAATGCTTCGAGCCTAAAAAAAAAACCTCATGGTCTTCTGGATTCTAGCCTGATGCCTTCATTATTCTACCAAGCAGGTTCCCAATGTAAATATTGTGCAAACCATAAGCCAATGTTTTGAATCAGAACTTTTGGACACAGATATCACTCTAAACCAAAATGTAAGCTTCGACCGAATGGGAGAGAAATGCTACATCGTTTTGCCTGGAGAACTGAGTGGTGGTGACGATGATGATGGATTTTGCGTAGCTTGGTGGTCCAAAATACTCTGGTGAAAATCATAATCATAAGTTTATTCGTCAAGCATATATAAGATAACAGATAAAACTATAAACATAATTTGAATACATGAGAAGAGTAAGAGTAAAAAGGAATATTAGGACAAGGACGGTAGGCACGCTGGTGCATTTATGCACACCCCTTACAGATCTCTTAGGAATGGGGTGAGGTCAACAGTAGACAGTTTAAGGTTAAAGTTTTGGGGGTTTGGGGAAGAAACTACAGAGTTAGGTAAATTAAATGAATTCATTTAATCCAGAATGAGCACAACAACTCATAACAATGAGCAGAAAATATGACGGTCGTGAATTCTGTATTGTGCGCGAAATGGACATTTGCAAAAAAGGGGAAGGGGACTCTTCTATAACACAGTTGTGAAATAATGTCAGTCCTGTGGGCAGAAGTTCAACCGTTGATTGAGAAATGTTCAGTGATTTGATATTGCTAAAAACTGGATTTGTGTTTAAAACGCAAACGTTCTATCTGAGAACATTCTGTATTCTGATTTTATTAAATGTAAGAAACAGGAGGTTTGATGTTGCAAAGCAGGTATTATGCAAGTTTTAACGTTTCCGGCTTGGGGTTGAATGAACTTTCAGCATCTGCATCAGTGCTGACAATGCTAGTGTTAATGATGGAAACTGCTTCAGTGTTTATCAAAAAGCCATTGAAAAGAGGAAAAAAATATATTTCCCCAGAATTTGGTTGTTGCAAGGATTACATTGCAGGATAGCTTAATTTGGATGCAAAAGGTATGCAAAGGTATGCAAAGGGAAATGCAAATAGTTTGTCAAAATGTTATCCTTACTTTTTGTTTTTTCTTACTGTGCAATTGTGCAATTGTTAAGGTTCTAACCCATTGGGAGCATCTTTCCTCAGTATAGAACTTATAACAGCAGCAATAGAGAGAGATGAAGGAATTGGAAGGGAGGAAGAAGGAGAGAGAGGGATGGAAGAGTAGGGAGGAAAGAAAGGGAAGAGAAGAAAGGAGAGAAGGTAAGACAGGGAGGAAGAGAGGAGGAGAAGGAGAAGGGAAGGGGAAGTAGAGAAGAATTAAAGAAGTAAATCAAATTTTAAAAAAAGAGAAGAAGGTGGGGGAAGAAAGTTGGAAGGAGAAGAGAGAGAGGCTAGGTTTGAGGAGAAAGATTGTTGTACAAAAAAAAGAGATGAAGTGGAAGAAAGGCAGCTCTGAACAAAGAAATATAAATATATTAAGAAAAAGAATGAATTGTTTAAGAATAAAAGAGGACAAATATGTATAAATAGTAAAGTTAAAATTTAGGGATAAAGGAAGAAGGGGTTTATGTATGCAAGCATAGAAATACTGAGGTATATTCAAAAAAAAAAAGGAAAGCGGGGAAGATGATATTGACAAATTTTGTAATTGAGTAAAATATTTTTGAATTTGACTAATTGTACAAGATAAGAAACGACCAACACTGTTCAAAAAAACAAGAAAAGAAAGAAAGATGTGGGTAAAGGTGGGAGAGGAGAAAAGAAAAAAAAATAAAACTTGTTTTTTTTAAAAAAAGAACTTATAACTATAGGACTGGCGACCCCCAGGGGGAGAGCCTTCTCTGTGGGGGCACCCGCCCTTTGGAACGAGCTGCCCCCAGAGATTCGTCGGATTTCCGACCTCCGTACCTTTTGCCGCGCCCTTAAAACGCTATTACTCCATCAAGCAGGGCTGGCCTAAATATTTTTTAATGGGTTATTGTATTTTAGATGATCGGCCAAAACTATTTAATAATTTTAAATTGTTTTTAACTTTTATATTGTGGGTTTTATCTTGGCTGTACACAGCCCTGAGTCTCCCGGGAGAAGGGCGGTGTAAAAATTTAATAAAACTGAAACTGAAACTTGGAAACTCTACAAAAAGAAAAAAAATTGGGAGTTCTTAATTAAAGGGTATAAGACAGGGGTGTCAAACTCGATTTCATTGAGGGACGAATCAGGGTTGTGTTTGATCTCGAGGAGCCGGGTGGGTATGGCCAGGGTGGGCATGGCCAGCTCAAGGTCATTCATGTCGGGGCGCCTGTGGTGGCTCAAGTGCTCTGCCAGTGAAAACGGAGCTCGGGGGGCCTTCTTGAGCTCCGTTTTCACTGACAGAGGGTTGCAGGAGGCTGTTGGAGCAGAAAATGGAGCTCGGGAGGACCACATATGGCCCTCCCAACCTCCTTTTTCACTGGCAGAGGCACTGCCAGCCAGTCCTTCACTGTTTCCAGGGTGGCCCCGTGGGCCTGATCTAAGAACCCCACAGGCCGAATTCAGCCCGCAGGCCTTGAGTTTGACACCCCTGGTTTAAAGGGTTACCCTAATTAAGCAACTAGCATCACATGTAAAGAAATGTGAAGGTGACTTCATAATTTTCTGTTAAACTTCCAAGAAATGACTAAGTGACAGGAAAGATTTTGACAGCCAGGTGTTCAAGCTGGTACCTTGCAAGTACTGAGTGTCAGGTTTCGATGTCATCTCAAATAAATTGCACTCCCAAACAATTAATCTTTGCTGAAATATTCCATTTATTGAATATGACAGATCTGGCCCCGACTTTGTCATAGCCGATACTAAACCTCTGACCCCCAAACCCTTCCCTTTCCGTTCCCCAATTCTCATCTTCTCATTGGCCATCT